AGGACTTTGGGAAAGTGATATTAAAAGTGCCAAGTATCATCCAAAATGTATTTTGGGAACCACTAAGCTGACCATTGAGCAATTTTGTTCTCTGCTACCCAAATAGAGGCGATTCTTAACTCTAGACCGTTATGTGCTCTATCAAGTGACCCATGTGATCTGCTGAGCCTAACCCCTGCTCACTTTTTGACTGGTTGCAGCTTGACCTCATATTCAGAGAAGGATTTGTCAAATACCTCCTCGAATCGTCTCAGCTTTCATGAACGTTGCACGCAGATGCAACAGCAGTTATACCCTTATAGACTGCAGAATCGACCAAAGCGGTAACATCCCTCAAATGACTTGCTGCATCGCTTTCTGCTTAAAATTTGACTCCATTAAAGTGGCACTTGCCAGAATTTTGAAAGTTTTTCATGGACTTGATAATAATATAGGAGTTGCCAAGGTAGCATCTTGTCATGGGGAATTTACGCGTTCCATTGCGAATATTAGTCTAATACTGAAAATTGATTTGACTTTATAATAATCTTATCTTAGAATGTATGATCTGAAGTTTACTTGTTCTGTTTATTTTAAATCCCTTTAGGTTGCTACCCTCAGTCCCTTAACGTGGGGCAGTATGTTGTAAAGAGCTACAACAGTTTAGGCTCTCTATTTTATTTTATATTTCGCTATATAACTACCTATTCATTCTATTTTATGCAAAAAATAACACCTGTCTCAACTGGTTAGTCTAAAATTCCAAACAAAGGAAACTCTCCGGCAGTCGCCCAATGTAGTCATTGACAGGAATGTAGTTATTGACAAACTTTGTAATCAACAAGGTTGTACGCTAGGTCCTTAACTCTTCAAGTTGCTCGACGCGTGACCTATTATTCTAATAGCTTCCTCGCTTTTGCACCAGTGTGCAATACACGTATATAAAGTTAGCAGTGCAAAGTCAGCAGTGCAAAATTTTTATGACTGGAAAAATTAGTGCTAATTAAGTGCTAATTAAATGCCAAGTTCACAAATTTTGTGCTCTTGTAGTTTCCGAGATATGGCCTGCACTGCTAGCTACCCGTTAAAGATAGCAGTGCACCATCCAGGAATAATCCAGGAAAGTGGTAGGGTGATATAAATGATGAAGAAAATTAAATGCTAATTAAATGCTATCATTTCCATGAACAAAATCTCTATTTTCAGCTTTTTTTCGAATATTTTATAAAAGCAACGCTGTGCACTGCTAGCTTTATGCAGTACACATATTGAGTTTTCATGAAAGGAGGGATTGGTAGAGTTTTCGACATAGGAATAATTTAGTGCTAATTACATGCCAAGTTCACAAATTTTGTGCTCTTGTAGGTTCCGAGATATCGCCTGCACTGCTAGCTACCCGTGAAAGATAGCAGTGCATCATCCAGGAATAATCCAGGAAAGTGGTAGGGTGATATAAATGTTGAAGAAAATTGAATGCTAATTAAATGCTACCATAATCATGAACAAAATTTCTATTTTCAGCTTTTTTTCGCATATTTTCTTAAAAACAACGTGGTACACTGCTAGCTTTATGCAGTACACATATTGAGTTTTCATGAAAGAAGGGATTGGAAGAGGTTTCGACATAGGAATAATTTAGTGCTAATTAAGTGCTAAATAAATGCCAAGTTACCAAATTTTGTGCTCTTGTAGTTTCCGAGAAATAGCCTGCACTGCTATAACTGTTAAAGATAGCAGTGCAGCATCCAGGAATGATCCAGGAAAGTGGTAGCGTGATATAAATTATGAAAAAAATTAAATGCTATTTAAATGCTACCATTTCCATGAACAAAATTTCTATTTTCAGCTTTTTTTCGCATATTTTTTTAAAAACAACGCGGTGCACTGCTAGCCTTATGCAGTACACATATTGAGTTCTCATGAAAGAAGGGATTGGGAGAGTTTTCGACATAGGAATAATTTAGTGCTAATTAAGTGCTAATTTAATGCCAAGTTACCAAATTTTGTGCGCTTGTAGTTTCCGAGAAATAGCCTGCACTGCTATACCCGTTAAAGATAGCAGTGCACCATCCAGGAATGATCCAGGAAAGTGGTAGCGTGATATAAATTATGAAAAAAAAATTAAATGCTATTTGAATGCTACCATTTCCATTAACAAAATCTCTATTTTCAGCTTTTTTTTCGCACATTTTTTTAAAATAACGCGGTGCACTGCTAGCTTGATGCAGTACATATATTGAGTTTTCATGAAAGAAAGGGTTGGTGGAGTTTTCCACTTTAGAATAATTTAGTGCTAATTAAGTGCTTATTAAATTCCAAGTTACCAAATTTTGTGCTCTTATAGCTTCCGAGATATGGCCTGCACTGCTAGCTACCCGTTAAAGATAGCAGTGCACTATCCAGGAATGATCAAGAAAAGTGGTAGGGTGATATAAATTATTAAGAAAATTAGATGCTAATTAAATGCTACCATTTCCATGAACAAAATCTCTATTTTCAGCTTTTTTTCGAATATTTTTTAAAAACAACGCTGTGAAATGCTAGATTTATGCAGTACACATATTGAGTTTTCATGAAAGAAGGGATTGGTAGAGTTTTCGACATAGGAATAATTTAGTGCTAATTAAGTGCTAATTAAATGCCAAGTTCACAAATTTTGTGCTCTTGTAGTTTCCGAGATATGGCCTACACTGCTAGCTATCCGTTTAAGATAGCAGCGCACCATCCAGGAATGATCCAGGAAAGTGGTAGGGTGATATAAATGATGAAGAGAATTAAATGCTACCATTTCCATGAAAAAAATTTCTATTTTCAGATTTTTTCGCATATTTTTCTAAAAACAACGTGGTGCACTGCTATCTTTAACGGGTATAGCAGTGTAAGCGATATCTCGGAAACTACAAGAGCACAACATTTGGTAACTTGGCATTTAGTTAGCACTTAATTAGCACTAAATTATTCCTATGTCGAAAACTCTTCCAATCCCTTCTTTCATGAGAACTCAATATGTGTACTGCATAAAGCTAGCAGTGCACCGCGTTGTTTTTAAAAAAATATGCGAAAAAAAGCTGAAAATAGAAATTTTGTTCATGGAAATGGTAGCATTTAAATAGCATTGAATTTTTTTCATAATTTATATCACGTTATCACTTTCCTGGATCATTCCTGGATGCTGCACTGCTATCTTTAACAGGTATAGCAGTGCAGGCTATATCTCGGTAACTACAAGAGCACAAAATTTGGTAACTTAACAGTAAATTAGCACTAAATTATTCCTATGTCGAAAACTTTTCCAATCCCTTCTTTCATGAAAACTCAATATGTGTAGGTACTGCATAAAGCTAGCAGTGCACTACGATGTTTTAAAAAAAAAATGCGAAAAAAAAGCTGAAAATAGAAATTTTGTTCATGGAAATGGTAGCATTTAATTAGCATTCAATTTTCTTCATCATTTATATCACCCTACTACTTTCCTGGATTATTCCTGGATGGTGCACTGCTATCTTTAACAGGTAGCTAGCAGTGCAGGCGATATCTCGGAAACTACAAGAGCACAAAATTTGTGAACTTAGCATTTAATTAGCACTTAATTAGCACTAAATTATTCAAATGTCGAAAACTCTACCAATCCCTTCTTCCATGAAAACTCAATATGTGTAGTTACTGCATAAAGCTAGTAGTGCACAGCGTTGCTTTTAGAAAATATTCGAAAAAAAGCTGAAAATAGAGATTATGTTTATGGAAATGGAAGCATTTAATTAGCATTTAATTTTCTTCATCATTTATATCACCCTACCACTTTCCTGGATGGTGCACTGCTATCTTTAACGGGTAGCTAGCAGTGCAGTCCATATCTCGGAAACTATAAGAGCACAAAATTTGTGAACTTGGCATTTAATTAGCACTTAAATAGCACTAATTTTTCCAGTCATAAAAATTTTGCACTGCTGACTTTGCACTGCTAACTTTATATACGTGTGCAATACCCGTTTTTTGCTGACGAATTTCCCTTTCAAAACTCAAATATAATATTACATCTAGTGACTTTTGTTGTAAACCTTCATATTCGTAACACTTTAATTACTGTTATGGTGAGTTTATACAGACACATAACATAACATAAGACATAACATAAGATAAGATAAAAAGTTGACCTTGTCGCTCTTATGTCGTTTATACACAAAATAACATAACATAGCATAAAATAGGACATAAAGAGAGTTGGTTAACTTTTAACTTTCTCTCTCCTCTGAGCATCTGATTGGTCGAAAATTATTCCTTATGTTATGTTGTTTTACTTCACTTTACTTCAATTGAAGGTAGGTACAAGAAGACATATATATCCCCCCATCAAAAAATACTGCACTATAGGAATTTTTGGTTTTCGCATGCTAGCTTGATATCAAGTAGAGGTGTTGTGGTGTTGCTATTTAATATAAATTTTCGGGAGCAAAAAAAATCAAAAAAAGGTAACTAATTAGCAACAAATTGGCAAACGTGCCCCACTAGGATTTTGCTTTCTTAAATATTCAGCTTGATATCAAGTTGGCACTGTTGCAATTTTCTAAAAAATTGAAAATATGGTAGCACGCCAGCTTGACAGACATGAAAAAATTACATAGAAAATATAGACAGGTTTTTGATTATTTAACCTAAGTTAGAGCTGCAGTTCCTCAATTCTAAATTTATAGTTGGTTATCTCATATGTAGTATGATTTAATTTAAGTTTAATTTAGTTCAGTTTAGCGAATTTTAGGTTTAGTTTAGTTCTTTGTTTCACTTAATGTTAGAGGTAGGTATAAAGTAGACAGTTTACAATTTGTTTTAATTTATACACTGTTGTGTAGGTATGTTTAGTAATAGATTCTCCTTGATAGAAGTGTTGATGCTGATTAAAAAACCTAATTTCTAATAATAAATAATTATTAGTTGTGGAATGTGGGTCTCTGAGAATGTATCCCTGTAATATTTGCACATACATTTTTTTATTATTATTTAAGGTAGAAAGAAAATCAGCTTACCTTATCGTAATCAAGTGTGGCTGGTGGCAAGGTCTCGTTGTCCCTCTGACAATGGTAACTGCTGAAGAATCGAGAACAGTAGTTGTGGAAGCAGGAATGGCAATCTGTGGAACAAGAAGTACCGCATTTACAGCAACATGAAGGATCACAAGAACATAAAATTTGATGAAAAGAAATTACACGGGCGCATCCATTGGCACTTGGAGTTGTAGAAAGACTAGCCTCTAAATTGAGGCCGCAAAAGAAGTCGGTATTATACGCGGCGGTACACTTGGGGTTAATTTGGTTTTTGGGTTCCGGATAACTTTCGCTGTCAGAATCAGAGACGTCCGAGTGGCCGTTGATAGTGTCCACAGCTCCGGCTCCGACACCGTCATTAGAATAGGAAGAAGCCGCCAGGTCTGTAAGATATACAGCAGGAATTACTGAGACCGGCGGCCGGCTTATTTCTCGCAACATGTAGTTTTCGGCATCAATATTAACCAGAGGCCGCAGTTTTTGATCTACGGCTAATACCGTCATACGTCGGTACATTTTGTCTCTTCCGGAATCAGACTCTAGCGCTCGCTGGTCCTCCGAATCGTTAAGGTTCATCTTGTCATCATCATCTAGTTTTTTTCTAGTCCGTGCACAGGGCCAAAAGTATTTCTCGCCGTCGCGGCGCCGTTACCACAACGAAACACGCCAACACGCCACTTACTACGGGGTAGCGGAACTTGAAACTGATTCTACATTCTACACTGGCTCGATTTTCACGGAACGATATTCCTTTGCCCCATGATCACGACTCGCGACTGACGGCGGTGGCGATTCCGACTCCGTCTCGTCCCAACCACATCGGATCGGACATCGCATCGTATACGATACGGTATAGGGTAAAGGATCAACTGACGAAAAGACATGCGCGATGCGCGAAGCCGGCTTTCTGGTCTGCTGGCGGCTGGGTCGCGTCGCGAGTTTCGCGACAATCGACAGTAGAGAGTTTTCTTGTTGTTGTTGTCTTTAAGCGATTCCGATAGCCGCTATTTGACATTTTTGACATTTGAGCTGTCATTTATCGTTATCGTTACCCATAAGTGCCGGAAGCTTACAGACGGAAGACCAAGCCATAGCGGAAACGGAACGCATGCGTATTTCCCTTGTTTTTTGTGGTTTGCTTTTGTTGTTAAATGTTTTTGGTTTTCGAAATGGACTCAGCACTAAATTCCCTCAGAAGATCGACAAATCGTTTCACGGATGAGGACGATATTATTTTATTAGAACAACCCAAGATACCACAAACCATTAAAGATAGGTTATATTATTATTAGGCATTCCAGGTTGACGTCATAACCAATCCGCCATTTTAGCTGAGGGGCAGACACAAGCCAAACATAACCTGATTTTGTTATTTTCAATACAAACCGAGAATTTTTGAAGTATTATTTTGTGAAGATGCCTTCGTTTTGTGGCGTTTTTGGGTGCTCCAATAGAGCTGAAAGGGATAGAGTGAGGTTTTTTAGGATTCCAGCAGCATTTAAGGATCGAGGGGATCGTATAAACGAGCAATCAAAAAAACAACAGAGTATGTGAATTAGATGCCTCAAAAGGTGAGATTTGACTGTAACGTTATTGAAAATGCTCGAATTTGTTCGAAACATTAAGTTAATGGTAAGTTTTATGACTGTTTTGTTATTAAAATACAAAAACACTTCATCTCGGTATATCAAAAAAGTTGTTTATGTTTCTACAAGTAGGTAACTTTCAATACCTTTTAGGTAGTCCAGCAGAATTTAAGGATACAAACAATCCTGATTGGGTCCCCAGTACAAATTTAGAAGATACTACGATAGTAGATAAAAGCCCAGAATGAACAAGCCAGTAAGCTAAGCTACATGCCAGATCTGTGCACCGATCAGAACAGTCAAAACGTTTAAGGAGTCACTCTACCACAAATTTATTTTGCTAAAGTTTATTTGTAAGGTTGTTAGTATCAAACTTTTTTATTTTTTAAACAATTTAGATTCTTAAGCAGAAGCATTATTTTTGTTAATAAATTGTTTGTTTACTATTGTTGAGTTGAAATGTAAAGTAGCATGTCTGTAAATAAAGATTCATTCATTCATTCGATTCATTCACAAAAACTAAAAACAACTTAAAACTTATTGAACAAATCAAAAAACGCAAAAATTCCGAAGCACACTCAAAAAACACTGTAAACAATATGATCTATAGGCTTTGTTTGCCCCTCAGCTAATATGGCGGACCTGTCAAAAGTCACGTGACCTGGAATGCCTAATGTTTGTCGAATTCGACTTAACGTTATAGTGGAGTGAAATCACAATGAAATTATGACTTTGTGATTCCGAGGTTTAACCAGATGAAACCTATATCATCTTGTAAAGGACACTCTGGGGCATAGGAAATGGAAATGTACAACTTTTTTTAGTAGGACTGAACTTTGAAATCGGCCCTTAAACGTGACTGAGCTCGAATTTGAAAAACTACGTTTTTCTAAACATTAACCGCTGTATTAATTAAAGCATACAATCTAAAATTCTGATTTTTTGCACATTTATACTTGAAACATGAGCGCTTCTAATGACAGTTCAGAAATTTCGAAAAGGTTTAAGGTTTTTTTGTTAGAAAGTTACGAATATAGAATTATCAAAATCGTGCATCTGAAACTTCACTCTGCGGCGAGCCATGTGAATTATTGAAAATTTCTATACATACATATCGAATCAAATGTAGTAAAAAGTAAAAACATTGTCGAAGTTTTTGAAAAAAAAATTAAGTCGCTAACTTTAACGGTTATAGAAATATGAATTTATATCCGGAAGTTTTGAAATGCGCTCTGATGCTGAAAGCGGCTAGCGGCTACCATTCTGGAAATCATCTGCGTTAGTGCATTAGCGTTACATCTAGAAATAAAATAAAAAAATCTATAAACATAAAGTAATTGATTGAATCCTTTTTTATGAAGTTAGTTCAAATATTTTCTCCTTCGTCATCCTCATATAAATCAGGAATATTATTTTGACAACTTTTGCAGGAACAATCGCTGCAGCATGTTAAACCCTCTTTCAAGCAGACACATTTATTATTTTGACATAATTTATCTTCACAGAAGACATTCATTAGTTGCCTTATATCCATTGGTATGGGCTCAGCAGTCATCAAAACAGGCTCAAAAATTCCATTATTCCTAATTCAACAAAGTTAACAGGGTCAAGTATAGGCATAATAGGTATATGATTGGATATCCATATACGCAGTTGATATATGCACCTGAAATTTTGTTTATCGCATAAATACAGCTTATTTTGTTATATATACACCTAGCTCAGTACATGCTGGTAAAATGCATCATCTGTGGGTAGAAGTTCAGAAGCGGATTTATTGGAAGTTGTGATCAATTGATATCTCAATAACCTATCTCCAAGATTTTTAGAAAATACATTTTTTGCCTTTGCATTTATGGTATCGCATCCTGTTGACACATGCAGCGCTGGTAAACATTTATAACATATTCCAGTTTCTGCACTATTTATTGGAATGATTCGTTTTTTATTCCCTTGTCCTAATTCTATAAAAAGGTAGGTTTCTTTCAAAGAACTTACTTCAATAAATTCAGAATAGTGGTAAATAAGTAATACCAGAACATTTGCATCTGCAGACTTGACCAACACTTTTTTTTGGTGAAGTATCTGATATTCATATAAGACGTGGATTATAATAAGTCGTGCATCAGTATCATCATGATTCGATTTCAAATTTTCCAATTCTGTTACACGGTTACACCATCCTTGTTGACAGAAAAGCATAACTCTGGATTTTCAAAATCACCAGCGATGATCAGAGTTTCTTCTATTTGTCAGCTAAATGTTCCAAAATATAACCAGTTACAAATTTCAATAGGGATTCTTCATTTTCTGATAATTTTTAAAAATTCCAAAACTTCATCACTTTTCTCTTTCCAGAAACTTCATACGCATACGTATCTGCGGAGTTACTTCTTCTGCGTCTGTCCAAAGACTTGACCGATTCATCTATTAAAAACCACCGTTCATACCTTCGACCAAGTGAAAGAATTTGCTTCAGAAAAATACATGCGAGTTCATTGAAAGTTAAGTTGAAAATGCTTTATCATTTAGTCCTTGAATAAGTACCATGCCATCAGGGCCGTCTTAAGGCATGGGCCTGCTGGGCCCGGGCCCAGGGCCTCGGGGCCAAGGGGGTCTCATCGCTAAGTCCACGCATAAATTTTATGGAAAAAAAAATTGAAAAAAAAATTTATTGGCGGCAGGCGGGTAGCGAAAAAGTGTATCTGGAAAAACTATATTTTTCAAATTTTGATCCACATCAATCATAAAATATACCTATATTAATTTCAGAAAGTCCAGGAAACATCCCCTTCAATAAAATATATTAAACTTTGCCGTTAGCTACAATTATATTTGTTTGATATCAGGCGCCGAAAACCGGTAAACCTGCAAATATGAAATAGGCTTAAAGGTATTTTATTTTTTTATGACAGTTTGTATTAGGGCTGCTCAGCTAGCTGGACTGCTTTGAGTTGATTTGGCTTACCGTTTACGTTTGCTCAATTTACATTAGAACCTAGTTTTGGTTGAAAAAAGGACAAATAGACACGGTGTTTTTGATAAAAAAAAAGACATTTGTGAGTAATTTGTGTAGGGATTACATTTATTGTGCAAATAAACAAAAGTAGTAAAATTACATTGTATTAAGGTAGGTAATCAATAGGTTACATTGCATATTGAATTTTAATATTGGCTTAATTATTTTGGTGCAGGGAGAAGTGTTTATTTGCTCCCGTTGACAGGCTTGGTCTCGTCCAGCTTTGTTACTTGTAAGTGGATAGTTTGGTCCAGGCGCTGCGCCCTAATCTTTTTGGTAAATATTACCTTTATAAAATAAAGAATAAGATATCCAAAATATCTCCATTAATAATTTAGGACAATGAAGAAGCGTTTTGAAAGTGGAAAAAACATGCAAAGTTGGTATGGCGATAACAAATTTTGTGCTCCTATTTCCTATACGTAAAGTGTAGTAGGTAAATAAAAATTCGAGTTTAAAAATATGAAAACATTTGTCATTTATACTACTTATATTTGCCTTAAGCCTTGGTTCAACAACAACAACAAAAATGACAACTTAGGGCGGGTATCATAAAACTATTTTGACAGAATAGCTAGAAGTTAACTTCTGGAATGACAGTATTAACATTTAGTTATCTGTCAAAATAATTTCATAATACTTGCCTTAAAAAACTTGATATTTTTTATCGTAAATAAAAATAAATAAAATATTAATTGATAATTGACGTAATATAGACTGTTTTGGCCGAGATCCCTGTGATTTCCTTCTCATAAATATACTACTACGGCCGTTAAACTTCTCAACATAAAATAATAAAACTATAAAATAAGAAAAGAAGGCCAAACAAATAATATTGATATATATCATGATATTTATAGCATAAATATCATGATATTTATCAAGATATATATCAGGATATTTATCGCTGATATATATCCTGCCAACCCTGCCAAACTCACCCAATTCTTCAATAAAGTAGTCGTTACAAGTTGCGCATCTACCAGTGCCAGTAAAAGTGATGATAGTATAAATATTGAAACTGTTGAAACTGAAAATGATCATGAAGAAACGATTTCTTCCATCACCGGAGCGGCGGACGTAGAGGTTACACATGCCGAAGCTGATCAAGAGCAAAGTGCAATTAAAGCTAATGAATATATTGAAAGTACGGATTCAGGTCTATGGCCTGTATCTGATCAGCGCGTTTATACATAGAAGGAAGTAATACTAAAACAAGAAACCTATGTGCATCGTTGTTTAAAAGACAGTTACGTAACGGAGAGGTTGTAGATCGCAAATGGCTTATTTATTTTCCGTCAAAAGGAAAGGTTTACTGCTTTGTGTGTAAATTATTTTCATCCGTTTATTCTGCATTCACCAGCACTGGATTCAATGACTGGAAGCATGCAGGTATGGCTGCCTCGCAACATGAAAATTCTCCTGAACACAGGAACTGTATGATGATCTACCAGAGTCGCTTAAGGGTATCTGGTCGTATAGATACCCAATTAACGAGGCAATTTAACGATGAACATCAATATTGGAAAGAAGTGCTGAGGCGAATAGTAGCTGTAATAAAGTTTTTAGCTTCAAGAGGACTTCCTTTTAGAGGAGAAAATGAAAATATAGGTTCAGTTAAAAATGGAAATTATTTAGGAACATTGGAATTGCTTAGTCAATTTGATCCATTTTTGGATCAGCATATAAAGAAATATGGTAATGCTGGAAAAGGTAACCCTTCTTATTTATCAGCTACAATTTGTGAGGAATTTATTGAATTGATGGGATCGAAAGTATTGGCGACTATCGCCGCTGAAGTACATAAAGCCAAGTATTATTCTGTTTCTGTTTATTCTACGCCGGATGGGACACATGCCGATCAACTAACATTTATTTTGCGATATGTCAGAAATGCTGTTCCCATTGAACAATTTTTACAATTTATCCATATTCATGGACATACAGCAGAGTATCTGGCAGATGTTGTCATTTCATTTTTAGAAAAAAATACAATTTTGTTAGATGACTGTCGTGGTCAGTCATACGACAATGCTTCGAATATGTCAGGTCAATATTCACGACTGCAAACTCGACTTAAACAAAAAAATAAATATGCGCAGGACATTCTTTAAATTTAATTGGCGTCCAAGCGGTACAATGCAACTTGAATGTCACAATTTACTTTGACTTTGTTCAAAACCTCTACAATTTCTTTTCCTCATCAACGCACCGTTGGGAAATAATGAATTTAAATTTAAGTTCCGATCACAAAGTACTGAAAACCTTATCAAAAACACGTTGGTCTGCACGTGAAGATGCAGTTACAGCCTTAAATTGTGGATACAAAGAAATCCAAATGAGCCTTGATACTTTAAGTAATGACAAATTGCAATCAGCAGATACACGTCTTACTGCAAAAACATTAAACAGCAAG